AATTTATGAAATTTTTTCCTGTTATTTAGTTAATATAGTTAATATTAGTTAATGTTAATATACTTTTCCATTATTTCACGAGAAAAAACCCCTCAAAACACTGTTTTCTGAGGTTTGTCTCCTGGACAACTTGCTTATGGACAGGATGAACTTAATTCCATACTTCTCGAACCATTCATTATTACGTTATCGTGTTTATAATGAACACCGCTTTTTAACACTAAGAAGCTAGTTATTCATTAACTATCGTGGCACGTGAGTTGGAAAAGCTCATTTTTGAAGTCAGAGTGCAAAGTCCTTTAACGTGATACCAAAACTGTTCCATAGAGTTGTTTTACAAAAAAAAAAAAATTTAGGTATAAGACCACCTTAAAGTCCCTATTATTTTGGCGCGGCACCGTTCCCGCCAAAACTTTCATACTCGACCCAGATACTTTAGACCCACACAACTTATTCGTCCAAACGTAAAGAAAGGAAGAATGGTAGTGAGAACAAATGATCTTTGCCGTTCACAGTGCCATAGCTCCCCTTTTCCTCCACCGAGAAAAGAAGGAAAAAAAGATCACTAAGCAGCAACAACAGTTTTTCTGCACCTGCTTTGCTTAACTTTTTAACCTGATTCAGACTGAGAGTTGACGGTGGACTTAGGAGGAGATTGGGCGAGGAATATCTCGATGGCTTTTCAAACAGTACCTTCATATGACTCAAAAAGTGAACGCCACGCTAGAAATTTTCCCGCCTTTTCATACTATCACTTCGTTTAACTCAAACTGAAATGTCTTCATTTTCCAGTTGATTGAAGAATCAAGGACGTTCGCGCGAAAATTTTCCGACATTGATTTTTTTTCCGAGACTTTTACCACTGTAAGATGATGAGTAAGTTATGTCAGAACGGTAAAAAAAAAATGGGGCGTCACCGACTTCGTTTTGGAGAGAACATGCCCGGAAGAGCACCCTGAATCTGAAAAAATCGGGCTTCGTTAGTGAATAAGGCCACAGTGTCTGTAAGCCCAAAAATATTGCAATCAGATCTTTGAAGTGAAATTTTCTCTGCCAAATATTGCTTAAGTGGACCTATTAAGTGAATTTAGTCAACTGGTGAGGTTCCTGGACGCTAAGAAGGCAACTGGTGTCGATGGCATCCCAGCAAGAATTCTGAAATCATGTGCCCGGGAGTTATCGATGCCCCTGTCCAAGCTGCCCAACCTGTCGTTTAGTTTGGGTGAAGTTCCCTCAACTTGGAAAAGTACTAATGTTACACCAGTTTTTAAAGACAATGCCAAGGAGAATGTTGAAAACTATAGATCCATCTCCCTGTTATCTATCTTGGGCAAATGTCAGGAAAGAATTGTCCATCGTGCCATCTACTCTCATGTTTCACCCTTCCTTACTGATTGGCAGCATGGCTTTGTTAAAGGGCGTTCCTGTATAACTCAGCTAGTCCTCACTCGCCATATGTGGAGCAAAGCACTGGATGCTGGCCTTCAGGTAGATGCTGTGTTTTTGGACTTTGCTAAGGCGTTCGACCGCGTGAACCATAAGATTCTTCTGCATAAATTGTGTAACTTTGGAATATCAGGGTCGCTGCTTGCCTGGT